GTGTGTGTGTGTGTTACCCACAGGCAGACCTGGAGCATTCACTAAAAAAAAAAAAGTAATAATCTGAGTGAAATCTATGTTTGTGGAATTGCAGACCTCGCAGATCTCCTCTGTGTGAGGATTAATTTTGTGGCAATTCCGCTCTGTGTGTGAGTCACCGTTGTGAGACAACTGCAATATTGATTGATTGTGTGTGTGTGTGTGTTTTAGGCTATCACTGCCTGAGTCTTGGCTCACTGTCCCGTGGGCCAGGGGAGCAGATGGCTGGGAGAGCAAAGGATGAAGAGAGGCAGTTTAGAAATGGAAATAGAGGGATGAGAGAGGGCTAATAGTGAGACACTGAGAAAGAGAGAGAACAAAAGAGGCAGAGAGGAACATCAGCGAGGGTGGAGTTGGGGATGACACTTTTGACTGTAATAACCAGTAATATTCATGTTGGATGTAAAATTATAGAAACAGAGAATTCAAACCTTTTCCCCCCCATTCAGAGTGCTGTGTTGTTTTTTTCTTTCTCCCCTGGTTGTCGTTTGCATATCATTACCTCTGACATATCAAACACCCAACCTGAGCTGACAAAGAAAGACAGATTGAAGCTGAATAATTCATGCAGGGAAATTACAATTTTCTATCACACCCTTATTTTTGATAAGATTTCCCCACAGTAAATGAACAGACTGATGAGTGGAGGAATTGACTCTCTCTAAAAACATCTGCTTTGACCTGATAATAGACCTGCTGATGTTAATGGGAACAGGTCTTGGTTTTTGTGGAGGTATTAATAATAATTTTATTTGCATAGCAGCTCAAAGTGCCACACAAAACATGATTAGTGTGCAGATTTAAAGCAGAAGCTTATAATTGTACATTATGTTGTAATTAAACCCAAATAATCAAATGTCTCCACATAAGCCTGTGAACATGTGTGATCCATCCTAACCTTTCTCTCTCTTCTGGCCTGTTTTTACCTTTGGTCTTCCAGGTGAGCACCTGCGGCTCTGTCCTCAGGACTACACCTGCTGCTCCAGCCAGATGGAGGAGACGCTGGCCCTCCAGAGCGAGCGGGACTTCCTCAGAGCCATCGAAGAGAACAGCCAGTTCCTTTTGACTACTTTCACCCAGAGACACCGCAGGTTTGATGGTGAGAACCAGAAGCTTGTACAATTCTTAATCATGTTTAATGGAAACAATTTCTGCTTTGAAATTAGAAAAGGAAAGGGAAAAAAAGGGGGGGGGGTATATATGAAGAAAAAAACTGCACTCTGCTTCTCCTCTCCTCTGCCGGTGGCGATGAGTGACAGCTGATTAAAAACTTATTTAGGATCTCCGCCTGCACAGTTCCTCTCAGATGGTCAGATATCTGAGCCAGAAAATTGACGGTGGAAGCTAAAAGCACAGCGATGCATACATATTGCAGAGAGCCTAGCATGGGTCTTATTTATGTTTAATCACAACATAAGAGCTTCTGAAATTAAAGAAGTACTGCACTTTCATAAAGTCTCTGGATGCACAAGAGACAGTTCGCGGTCCCAACTGAAGCAGCAGAAGTTGAGATATCCTGACTTTCAGCCCCTAGTATGGGTTAAAGGCCAGAAACACAGAATACTACATTTCCCATAATGCAACTTCATAGCTTCTTTAATTAGACTGCCTGGTAAAAATTCTCAAATTTTTTTCCCCCACACCTACAGTTTGAAACGCAGACGTCCTTTTATAAATTTGTACTGGCCAAGCCTAGCTGAGGTGACCCTGATGACGTCATTATGACATCACCAGCATTATTTTCTCAGACTTTCGGACGCCCCAACTCCACAGCCACAGAAGAAATTATAAAAACAGTTTGTACGGGTTTGTAAGTGGGACTAAACATGGCCGGTAAACTCACCTTCATGTATAAAATCGGTGGCCCTTTAAAACAAATGGTCAGTGTGGGAAACCTAGACAGCTTCAGTGACTGCGTTTCAGAGAACTCAGCCCACGCTGTCTCATATTCTGTATGTATGGCTGCAGGTTTTTAGCAACGGCAGCAGAGAGCTGAATTTACACTTTCCCCTCCTACCTGCTGTGGACTGCTATCACCTTTTTTTTCCCTCCTCATCCTTTTATATAATGTACGCGATGAATCATTTAAAGACGCCAAAGGAGTGGGAGACTGCATGAGTCCTGAAGTCGTAAATAGACTACATGTTGTTAGACTCGTTTACCAGCGTGCAGGATCTGATGTAACTGTTCCCATGAGCTGTTAATATGGGGGGGGGTGACTGAGTGCCTTTGTACATAGAAACCTGGCTCAGATGTGAGAAGTAAAGAAGGTGGGTGACATATTAATGTCTAATCTCTGCTTTTCCTGTCTCTCTGCAGAGTTCTTCAGAGAGCTTATAGATTTGTCAGAGAAGTCTATGAACCAGATGTTTACCAAGACCTACGGACGGCTCTTCACCCAGAATGCACACGTCTTCCAGGAGCTGTTTGTGGAGCTGCGCAGATATTATTCCGGTTAGTTTAATCACTTTATCCACCTCACCTCAATCTTATGAGTTCAGATGGTCTTTGCAAAGTGTCGCCGTTTGGGTTGAATTTGCTGTGTAAAACAATGAAATCAGGGGCCTCCAAGTCGGTAAAGAAACAAATGTAATGGGAATGTCCTCAATATTCCTTTCAAATAATGCAAAATGTCAAAAAACCTGATCTGGACTGACGCAATGAAATAAACCCCAGTCTTCTTTTGTTGCCTTCAGTTAAAATAAAATGCAAAGAACCGAATTTCAGGAGCCAGTTATTCAGGCAAACCTGACTTTTGTAGTCTACGTGAGCCCCTATCATCACTATGAGATAATTAATAAATGCAGAAGAGTGTTTGTCAGTAGTGTTGTAAAGCTGGGTAAGTAGTCTTGTAAAGAGCTGTGATGATTCCTTGTTGCACTGGCGGTGTACTGTAGTTTTACCAGTCCACATCCCTGTCCTGGTAAATCCACAGCCACTCTGGACAGCAGAACAGCGTCAGTATTGTCTTTTGAGGGGAAGAAAATGCCAAGAAGAACTGGAGGAAAAAAGAGAGAGAGAGAGAGAATTGGAATCCCACGGATGACTGTTTCTATTTCTGTTCCGCATCGCTCTGTTTTGGCATGACAGCCGCTCGCTGGCGAGTCTGTCTGCAGGCTGTTGCTGCTTAGTCAACCTGTCTTTGTTTGCCAAACAACATGTATGGCTAATTTCAGGCTGTATAGTAGACTACAGATTGCAAAGTCGCATACTCAGAATCTGTCTGTCAGTTGACTAATGCACAGACACTGATAAGCACCCATTTTATAAAGGAAGAAATAAATATAAAATAAAAAAATATATATAAAGGTGCAAAAAAAATTGTTTTGTGTTGATCTCTCTTGGCTTTTATATTGTCAATATATTTTTACTCTATTTGCCTACAATATCCTGGGGCAGCTCGCTCCTGGCAGAGTGATACTACTGTGCACAAGGTACAACTACTTAGTTTATTTATTATTATATATAATTGGTACCCTCCCTTATGTCACTCTAATGTGTCGGACTGGTGGAAGGACTACTGAATGTGGTCAGCATAGTTAACTACATCTCAGCCTTCTCCAAAACCATTGAAGTTAACTTGGTTATCATTAACTATGTCCAGAATTGTGGCCAACAAATACTGTGTATAACACATGTCAGCATAATTTGTTTCATTGTTAGCTGTTTTCTTTCTTGACAAATTGCATATAGTAGGAGCTAATCCACAGTGTGTTTGGTGGGTTTACAAGCATCATCTGCCAGACTTTGCAGTGACTGACTTAAGACTGGTTTAAGGTGAACGTACTTAGGTACTTGAATGTTGCAGAGCTGACAATACCAGCACTGGCCCCAAGCCAATCTCAGTTTGAGATCCCTGACTTATAGGAACGTGATTTTTGTGCTTACAGTTGCTCTTGTGTCCACAGGGGGCAGTGTAAGTCTGTCAGAGGTTCTCTCAGACTTTTGGTCCAGATTGGTGGAGCGAGTCTTCTCTCTGGTCAACCCCCAGTATCAGTTTAGTGAGGACTACCTGGAATGTGTCAGCAAACACGCCGAGCAGCTGCAGCCTTTTGGGGACGTGCCCCGCAAACTGCGTGTACAAGTACGTGTCTGATACGTCAACAAGGACAAAATAAATGGCTTTTATACAGCAAAACTGAATATCCAATTATGCCTGACTGATTAATTAACTTATGTTATTGTGCTCTGTTTCCTTTTAAATTTAGGTGTCCAGGGCTTTCATTGCATCCAGAGCACTATCTCAGGGCCTGGCTACTGGTCGGGATATTGTTAATAAAGCAACAAAGGTGAGTTGTTCCTTATGCTGTCGTCTGTTCTGGCAAGATTTTATAGAAAGAACTATACCCTTTCTAGCCTAAATATAAAAGTGAGGCCTTGAAATACAGGTTTTCCTTTATATTTAGCCAAAAACATTTTCAGTTTATATGGCAAAGAAAAATATCAAATTCTCACATTTGAGAAGCTGAGACCAGGACATATTTTGCCTCAAAAGCTTCTAAAACCGTCCATTCAATCATCATCAGTTGCAGTGAAATATTCTCGATTAATCAATAATAATAATTTTAGCTCTACTACATCTTGTTCCACAAATTACAGAATCGGTTGCAAAATACAAGCGCTTGTCTTTTGCTCATTGAGGGTCAAAGATCATCAACAACAGTGGATTACTCTTGTAGCCGCCAACATGTCAGCTTTAAAGTACATTTATGTTAATGTAGTTATTCTTCTACTGCTGCTTTGTTTTCCAGCTGACTGCAGATTCAGAGTGTGTGCGGGGGCTGATGCGTCAGTGGTACTGCCCTCTGTGTCGAGGCATGCCCTCCCTGCGGCCATGCCACTCCCTGTGCCTTAACGTGATGAAGGGCTGCTTAGCCAATCAGGGCGACCTGGACACTGAATGGAACAATTTCATTGGTGGGTGAGGGTAGGATGAAGGATATATCCCAGTATCTTGTTGTTGTTGTTTAGGTGGGTTTAGGATCAGGTGCTTGGCACATTTTATAATTTTTTGGATTAGGTATATGATCATATATATATGATCATTTCACTTACATTAGATCCTTAAGGGAAAAGATGCAATGGGCCAAATGACATTTAAAAGGCTTTTGAATTACTATAATTATTAAATTGAGCATACCTAAAATTAAACTCCTTTTATTGCTCTCCGTCACTCATTTACCCTCACTTCCTTTTCCCCTAATGAATTCTTCCTCCATTAATCATTCATGCTTCTCTGCTCCTTCACAATTGATCTGTCTTCCTATGTTTCCTTTCCCCTTTCATCAAACCCATACGATCCGTCCTTTTTTTTCTCTTTTCATGTGCAGTGCTTCCTCTTACCTTTCATCACTCAATCCATGAGTACTCCACCCAAACCCATTTTACCCTCATGTACCCTTTTGTCCAACCACCATTCTCCACCCTATTTTTCTCTTTATATGATGTTGGCCTGCTTCCTAATCTAACCTCATACATAGATGTAAATCAAATCTTTTTAGCTGGTTAGCCAGTGAGAGATTCCAGACACAGAGGAACCATTGTCTGGATGTGTATCAGGCTCTTTTATAGGCTATCACTTTGCGTGCACTACCAGACAATGAGAACCTGGGTGAATGTAGTCATGGAAAACTTTATGACCCTTTCATCTCTATTTCTGTCTCCCACTATCCTCTACCAGATGCTCTGTACCAGGTTTCGGAGAAGTTGGAGGGGCCGTTCAACATGGAGCTTGCAGCCGACTCCATCTCTGTGAAAGTGTCGGAGGCCATCATGCACATGCAGGAAAATAGTGTCAGCATCTCGACAAAGGCAAGGGAGAGGGCACGAGCAGATGATGGGGAAACATTGATATATTTTGTCATTGCACTCCCAGGATAACATGCTGGCTGTTGTTCTATAATCTTGTTTATTGTTTGATTTTAAATTTTAATCTCCTTAATGAGACAGCATGCAGTAGAAATGACAGGAATTATACGCAGAGAGCATGACAGCCGTACAGTAAGATTAAAACATGGCCGGCATCCCAGGAGCTAATCCACCAGAGAGACACCCACATCTGGTTAGAAGCTGTGGTAGCAGTGCTTTAAGGAACAGACAGCGCTTTCCTTTACAGCTCAGCTTTATGTGTTTGCTGCCTTTCATTCAAGAGCGTACCATTTTAACAATATTATATTGGAAGTTTCCAGTTCCACTGCAACATTTTGCTATGTTATGATTCGGAAGGAGTCCCTTTTGTCACACTAACACTAAGGTTACATTAAAAAATAATATGGGGCCTTTTGTGCTGTTTGGTGGCTCATTACACAGCGGTTCACATTGGTATTGCATTGTTGTTGTTTACCTCAGGTGTTCCAAGGTTGTGGAAACCCCAGGCCAGCTCCAGGACGGTCCAAACGCTCACCCAAAGAGTCAGGGGGCAACAGGAGACCCTTCCGCACCTACAGCCCTGAGGAGAAACCCACCACTGCTGCAGGCACTAACCTGGACCGACTGGTGAGGAAGGAACATAGTAGCAGTAGCTATTCATCTCTTGATATTTTTGAATATAGTGAATTAAAAGATATTTTTGGCCACATGGGGCCAAACAAGTGCCAAACACAACATCGACACATTATTATCTTATAAAGTTCTTGTGATGAACAGTTACAACTACAGAGTAACATTAGCAGTCATTTGTGTTTCTGGCCAGTTGGTGAATATAAGACCAGTATTCACTCGCTTACTCTATCCGTCTGCCATGTGGTGCTGGGCAGGTAGGGAACAGTGGGTTTTTTAGAGTTTTTTGACAGAAAAACAACACTAATGAGAGCAGTGAGAGTGAGAAAAACATTAAAGTTGCCAAGTAAATAAAGTTCCCTTTTCCAAATGAAGGGTCTAAGGACAGAGATCATTGTACACAGCCAAAAATCACACTTTACAATCTGGACAAGATTGTAAAGTGTGATTTTTGGCTCTAAAAATACAATTTGACTTGAATAAGTGCAGCGGTCAGATCCCAGAGAGCATTACTGTGTCCACAGAGTGGTCTTGCAAGCTAGAAGTGTTGGAAAATAAATGAAACCAAGAGCAGAGGAGAGGGAAAGAAGATTGGAGGTATTCACATCTATTTATAAAACATGAAAGACCTGCAGTTTAAGAACTGACCCAGAAAAAGTGTCATGTCAGTTTTTGACTTTGTCCATCGTCAGCACTGCAGCTTCAATATGCTTCCTACAGCCAGCCATACCAAACAAGGATACTTTGAATCCAGGTCTGAGTCACAACCAATTTCTTTCCGCCTCCGCGCAGGTTACCGAGCTGAAGGAGCGACTGAGGCCCATGCGTGGCTTCTGGGTGTCCCTCCCACACACCATCTGCAACGATGAGAAGATGGCTGCCGACGTCACTAATGAGGACCGCTGCTGGAACGGGCAGACCCGGGGGAGGTGAGCGAGATCAGAGTGGAGGGCTGGAGGAGGAAGGGGGTTCGGTAGAGGTGGAAGAGGAGCGAGCGAGTGAGTGATGGTGCAGAGGTGGAAGGATGCAACAGATGGAGCAGAGTTGATTTAATTTTGCCACCACCAGTCACCCACATGCTCTCTGCGTGGGTCTGCTTGCTTTTATGTACACAGATGCAGCCCAACACCACGTATCTGAGCTGATTTAGAGACGCTGTGCAGTCCTGCGTGTGTGTGTGTGATGTGAGAGAGGAAAAACATGTTTGCATAATGGCTGATTTTGTGTCTGATGTTCCAGCTGCATTGGGCAACAGTTTAATGTGGAAACACAGACCCTCCTTACCAGCAAAGTGGGACTGCAGCCAGACATGTGTTGGTATAAAATTAAGTAACTATAGTTACTTTGACCAAAATAATAACATATAATATACTGTACATTACACTTATTGAGTACTAGAGTGGGATAGAGTATTTATTAATTAATTAATTATCAGGACTTGTTGGAACATTGGTAAAAAAAAGTTTATTTGGGCCATTCAGATACATATTTAAAAAAAAATATGGTGAAACCTGTTTTGTAGATACAACAACAACAACAACAACAATAAAATAATAATAATGTGAGGTGAGTCTTCGGTTCAGTTTGATGTGTGTTATACAATAAGCCTATCTGCGAGATAAAATGACTGTTTTTTGCTATAAAGCGAGCTGTGTACAGTGATGGGACCGGTAGCTTTAATGTAATGTAGCTACTGAAAGTGTCTGGGAAGTTCAAGGAAAATATTTATGACACACTTATAATGGTCTTGTGACAGCCAATGTCCAAACCAACCACATATGACAGTATAATGTAATGTTAACACATGAAGCCAAATAGGCCTGCTGTGGCATGTTTATGTTGTCCTAGTTAATGTGAAGTGGTCCTAACACAGACAGCTCAAACAATGTTAACTTGAAACTTGACTTGAAATGACATAATTGACCAAATGACACTCACTGACAACATTCATAAACATTCATAAAGACTCATGACAGGTGTCGTGTCAGTCTTATTCACACCCTTCAAATAAAGTGTTACCTCAGCCTTTTCACTGGCTGTTGCTGACAGACTGATTCAATCTATGAATAATAAGAACCTAATTTAAGACATAAACAAACAAAAACTAAGCTATCACTATTGTAGAGAAGGAGATGGGACAGCAGGTTTCAACTAATACTAGATTACCTGCTGTGACACCACTGCCTGGGCTGTAGACAGGAATGCAACATATTTTAACTATTAAATATGAGAACATTCACAAAAGACCATTACTCTGCAGAATACATACATACATACACACTTATCAGTGTAGCCAATGAACAGCCAGGTGACTTCATCTGTCCTGGGTAGAAGCGTTGGTTTTATGTTATCTTCAGATACAGAAACATGTTGTGAATAGCAGTCTGATGTGCAGCCAGTTACTCTACGGTATACTTGCTGTACAAAAATATTTGGGACACTTAATTCAAACTTGTATCAAAGATTGAAAGGTTGTATTGTGTCTGCTTCTTTTTAAAATCAAGGAATCTCAGTTAGTTGACGTAAATGTCAGAAGAAAATTCCAGATTCAGTGTTTGCGTTTCTTTCTTTCTTTTTTCAGAACTTTTTGTTGTAAATCTAAAGCTACCCAGAATAATCCAAAGCACCAAATCAATGGAGCATATTGAGTAAAATGAATGGAACGGTGAGTGGGAAGGAGAAAAGCTGTCTGACCGAGTTATAGAGAGAAAAAAGGTGGAGACATGTCCCCTTCTGTGAAATGCAAGGCACTTATTGACACCTCATTCATTCATTGACAGTGAATTCATTTGCTTTTGCTAATCAGTCACACATTACACTGGCTGCTCTCTGTTCTACACAATTAAAAAAACAAAGGTGTACCTTTTTCCGACCCTCTTATAATTCATTCCCTGGACCGGGCGGTGAATTAATCGAGCGCACTCACATGCCTCTGTAACCCCGCCCCCTTCGGTTAACTCCCCCAGTGACGACAGCAGAGTCCTCCCAATGCGGGGGCTGTGTGGACGGGCACTGGCTGCACCGTGGAGGAAAACGTGCATTCATCCCGTGTGGTGTGTCAGTGTCAGTGACAAACGAACCGACCCGAGCTGCTTCTATCGGCGTCGCATCAGCACCAGCACCGGACCGACGGAGGGTTTCGTGGAGGAAATGCGGCATGCATGCACGCCTTAATGTGTGTGTGTGTGTGTGTGCAGATATTTGGAGGT